GAGCAATGGGCAGTGGCAGCTGGTCCGAGGCTAACCCCCTGAACCTGTCTCCAAACCCCCCTTTTCTCTGGCTTTCCAGTGAGCCAGAGCAGCCCAGCTCAGACTCTCCTGCTATTTCTATGTCCTTCTTTATTTCTCTGTCCTAAGTATATTTTTGCTGCAGCCAATAAATTCTTACTTACTTTGCTACAGTTTGTCTCTTGATGGACATCTTTCCTTCAAGAAGACAAGACCTGAGGTCTCATTGTCTCCCCAGTAACACCCTGGGCAAGGTGTTCAAACTAAGTGAGCTATTTCTCCATTTGGAAATAATAATAATAATAATAATAATGTTGTTAATATTATAATCTAGTTTGAAGAGTATTTGTGACAATTAGTGAGAATGATCATGAAGTGCCTACCACAGTACCTAAATACAGTAGTTTTTAGAAACATGGTTATTACAGATGTGTTTAAGCCTCTCAAAGTACATATCATTTTTAACTCATTGTTTAATAAATAAAACTTCATTGTCCATTTTCATAAGGTAATATAGTATTCTGTGTGTATATATACATAAATTATAAATACTACATGAATATAGATAGTATATTATATATTGATATACACAAATGTTATAAATCTATGCCAGGAAACTTGTTCACTCACAATGTCCTCAGACTGAGTACTTTTATAAATAATTCCTAAGGTATATCTCATTGATTTTCATTTATGGCCATTCATCTACTGATTTTTTGTCATTAACATTTTCGAACAGAACTACATGAGCAAAATACACGCTTCCAAGTGATATTTTTTCTGACCATGTTTTCAGAGGACACAAAGAAGTTTGATAAAAAGACTAGCTCTGAAATGTTTAAGACTTTTAAACTCAGAACTTGTTTGGAAATGACTAGTATGAGTAATTCTTCAATTTAAAATGCTCTCTTTTTTATATCCTACTAGTGGCTCATTGCACGAAGATTAACGCATTAGGCCTTCCTTCCCCTGGCTGCCGGCACTGGTTTTCCTTCGGCACCCAGGACCCAGGCTTTTGGTTCAACCGCAGCAGCAAGGCTTGGTTCTCGGCTCCAGCTGCTCCCAGACCCTCCTTTTTTTTTCTTTTTCTTTTTTTTTTCCAGCCCCTCCTTGAGCAGAGCCCAGCCAGGCTAGAGCAGAGTACAGGGCGAGTGGGAAGCTTGGCTTCCTCTGTCACCGGGAGCAACCCAAGCCTCCTGCTCACACCAGCTCAGTGGCTGCAGCCATCTTTAGTCATCTTTAGTCTTTGCTCTGTGCCTGAGTATGCAAATTAACTGCCATCTTTGTTGGTTTAATTTGCATAGTTTCTCTGATTGGCTGGTAGGTGTAGCAGAGTGACGGAATGATGGTTAATTTGCATATTTCTCTTTTTGTTCGTGTAGATTACTACTGAAGCATTTAAAGTTATGAATATTTTATATATAAACTAGAGGCCCAGTACATGAAATTCATGCACAGATATGGTCCTTAGGCCTGGCCTATGATCAGGGCCATCTTCCCCTGCTGCTAGCAGCCGGCCCTGCTCTCCACCACCACCCACCCCCAGTTCCCCGTTTTGCCATCAGGAGATCAGAGCCTGAGGACTGAGGGGAGAGACCAAGAGGTTGGCTGTTCCCAACTGCTCGCCGGCCCCACCCGCACCACCACCAGTCACCCTCTGTGTGTGGGGCAATCAATGGGCCAGGAGCCTTTGTCTGGCACTATCCACATCCGCTGCCACCCACCCCCAGTTCCCCATTCCCCATCGGGCGATTGGAGCATGCCGGCCAGGGGAAGGGACTAAAAGGTTGGCAGGCAGGCCCCAATTGGACAATTGGGGCCTGTGGGCTGGGGGCAGCTCCTACATTGAGCATCTGCCCCTGGTGTCAGTGGGTGTCATAGCAACCAGTCATTCTGCCGTTTGATCGATTTGCATATTACCCCTTTATTATATAGGATAGAGTGATATTTTATGTACAAAAGGATATAGTTAGATTTCTGATTTAACTTGCCCTGAAGAAGGAATATTTCAATAGAAGGAAAACAGGAAATGGCACCTACATATAAAACAGGAAATCTAAACCTGTCAAAATTACCCCTAATCCACCAGGACACTTGGCTTACCTATGCAACATAGCAGATTCTGATGTTTTAAAACCAAACATTGAAAAATCAACACCTTTTCCTTCAGGTGGTGTTCAATTCTTAGTTTAAGATGTAAACTATCATAAATCCACCATATCCATGTCCTGTACTGTTCCATCATGCCCTCACACAAAGCATTATATTATTTATCAAACCTTGATGTAAGTACAGAATATATAGATAACAAATATAGTAACCCTAGTGCAAAATTAAATGAGTTCTTTTCTTGATTTATTCTTAGTAAAATGATCCCAATGATCATCTATCTTTTTTTCTTTAGTAACTATAAGTTTAATATGCCATGTTAAAATGTCTTCATGTGAATTACAATAAAGCTAAGAAGTATATAATTTCTGGAACAGGCCTAAAACCCATATATAAAAGTATAGACCATCTTTTTGCAGGGGTGAGGGGGGACTCTCAATATCCATGATTTCTCAAGTATTATTTAGAGTGACCTTTAGCTATGAGAGATTCACTATGGCTAATTTCTCTTCTCAGAATAAGCAACAACAAGACGTACAAAAGATATGAAATAATGTTTTCAGGTATTGCATATCAAACAGAGAAAGTAATAGATGGAAGCTCTTTTATCATCCTTGCTTTCTGCTTGGAGACACTTCTAGACCATGTTACAAGGATGGTCCCAAGCAAAGCATGTGAGTATTGCTGAATTAAGGGAAAAGATAGTATAGTCAAAAAGGATGAAACAGCTAAAAATTGCAGGGCAGACAACAGGACCTGGGATAGTTAGGCATATAAGAAGCTTCAGAAATCTGCATATGGATAAAATTAAGTGATCTAGTCATCCAGTTAGGGTGTCGAATAAAGGACAGCAGGAAGGAAATAACCAGGAACTGAACAGGGAAAAAAAGAAAGAAAAGGAAGGAATATGGGAAAAGGATGGGAAATTCCAAGACACAAATATTGAGCTTTAAGAAATATTTCCTAAACACTTTCAGTTTGGTGCCGCCCAATTCAAATCTATGCTTGCCCTAGTAAACTCTTAGAAATGTTGATGTGCCTCTGTTTATCATTTATCAAGATACTATCTTGGGGGAAGGGTGTGTTAAGTTTTTCTGTGATATTGCAACTTACTGTGTGTTTATAATTGTTTTAAAATTAAAAGTTATAACAAGAGCATCTTGTCACTGTAACTCTCCATTTCAACTGTTCAATCCCTTATAAAACATTAGGTTATCTGCCTGCTCTGGAGAACATACTGACTACACCAAACTTTGCACTTGATTTTAAAGAAGGCAGGTTTGGCAGTAGTTCCTGTTAGTCTGGCCCATCATAAGTTTGTAATACTCAAGCATGATGTGAAATATTTCTAGAGAAAAAGAGAATTGTATATAAGAGTAAAGATACTATCAAACAGCAAAATATCAATACTACCTTTTCCATTTCTGTTTTCTTCATTTTTTTTCTTTAACCTTGTAACCTTATTTACAGATGTGAGTTTTTAAGTGCAGAGTAAAAAAGAGTAACTGCTAAAATATGAATGGTTTATTTTAATATCAATTATTTTTATTTTAAAATCAGAGCCAAATTTTAACATCTTGGTTACAGTACTAACAATGCCCTTCAATTATAAAAGACATTGACTATCTCTCTCAAAATAAAAAATCACATCTAAAACTCAAAGCATTTTTATAACATTTGAAAGATACGTTAAACAACACTTCTTAGATAACAGCTGAGTATGGTTGTACATTTTTTCATTTTGTTCTTTTGCTACAGAACTCTTTTTCAATGGAGAAGGGAATTACAGTGACCTGAAACTCTTCTGGAATCTGTCCTGTGGCTTTGGAACCTATGATTTTTTAATGTGGCTACAATGGTCAACCAGCCCTAGCTATTATTACTCGCATCTATATTTATGCTCAGCTGTTAAATGTCTCTTTGAATTAATAATCTGTTAAACCCAAATAATCTTCTTAGGTTAAGTTATCCAATAAATTAACAATATTTTATTATAAATTTAAAATAATTTTTACCTTTTATTGAATGAAAAATAATTCTATCTCCTTAGATATAAAATAAGTAGTGCCATAGGTTTTCCTTTTATACCCATACTAATCTCTTTATATTAAACTAGAGGCCAGGTGCACAAATTCATGCACAGGTGGGGTCCAGCTGGCCCACTTCAGTGGGGCCCATCAGGCCAGGCCAGCAGGGGCGGAGGGGCCACAGGTGGTTGGTGGCTGGCCCCACCCCCGATTGGCATGTTGGGGGCCGATCGGGGGCTTGGCCAGCCCAGGCTGGGGTCGGGGGTGATCGGGGCCTGGGTCAGGCTGGTTGGCTGCCACAGTGCACTAGCCACTGGTTGTTCTGTTTGTTCCAGTCATTCAGCCATTTTGGCTTTTATATATATATAGATTTTTTTTTAATCCTTTGGAAAAAATCCTATATCCAAAAGACCAACATTTTCTTTGCAAGTTTAGTGGAGTGAATGAGTGCTTACCAAAATAAAAAATACTTGTTCAGGACATTGTAATGAATGACAAGGGACAGTCCAGTGCAACTAAATGTCACCGGCCTAGGCACAAGATCTGAAAGTGGATATTTTCTTTTTTTTTCTTTCTTTTTTTTTTGAAAGTGGATATTTTCATATCAAAGATGACTTTATTTGTTGTATAAGGTCTTTTGTACTGTTACTTTTTCTTTTTATTTAACAACTTAATATTTACTGTTATCTCTAGATCAACCAATGATAGCACATCCGTGGTGGATATTTTTTTTAATTTTCATTTTCAACACCCTAATATTTATTTTTTTCACTGTAGACAGATAAGTTACAAATATAATGAAATGGATAATAATCATAGAAAAAGCAGAGGTGACACAGCCAAAGCATGGGCCTCAAAGTCTCTTGGAGCACATTTCACATTCAATTAGATATATATTTGAATTTGAGGTTTGACTAATAAACTCTTTTAAGCTCACAGTATTCTTTAAATCATTATTATTCTTTTCCAAAGTCAGGCCTACATGAAAAATACTGACACTATATAAATCTCTTAGTTTGAATACTAATTAATTGTGATTTCTTTATAAAATCACATAATATTCTTCAATGCCAGTGCCTTTATCGTAAAGGAACTGTGCTGAATGATACACCCTGCAAGCAGGGCATTGGTTCAATGGCTTTCTACCCTTATCAGAAAGTAATTTAAAATCTCTAGGCTGAAATGATTTCTGGACAGAATGCTGTTGGTGGTGATATTTGAGAGTGGAGTTCAGGAATGTAACACTAACCTACTTTCTTAGAAAAGGGTATTGAAGAATAATGAAGCAATGCAAATGTATTTTTCTTAATGAAGTTATCAGGTGAAACTTTGGAATGGAAGTCAGCCTATGAAATAAAATTTTGAATAAAAGTTTAAATTGTAAAAGCTATTTATAAATTCAAATAATAAAAATTATATTAATATTCACATAACTTTTGAATTAACATAAAATTCAATAATATATATACAATTATTTACCCATAATTAAAATGTTTTATAATAATATATTCAGATATGAAATGATATTGAAATATGAAGTTATATTAGCTATTAGTAAAATAAGGATAGAACTTTGAATATTCCTTCCATTTGACAGTTTGTAAAAGTTTGCAATATGTATGTATCATTAAGGCTGTTTCTTTACACTTTAATATGAATGGAAGATTTAGAAAGTTATGGAATTTATTTTATTACTTATCCTAATAATTTAAAACACCATTTTGCAGCAAAGACATCTTAGAATTTTGATTAGTTGAGGATTTAGACTAACCAAATGTAGTTGTCAGATTAGCACTGTTTATTAGAAACTTGGAGAATGCCTATAAAGATCTTTTAAGTAAAAACAGAATGGGAAAACTAGTTGCAATTTCATAAGATTATGTAATATCTTCTTGCATATGCATTTATCAATATTACCTTTATAGAGAATATTTATAAAATGGCTTAATTACATATAAAGCAGGAAAAGTTCTAAATTATTTTAATACAAAATAATTTAAGCACTTTTATTTTCTTCTCTTTATCATTTAAAGTACATCCAACCTCACTTGGAAATTGTAAAAATTGCTCGCCAGGCCCAACTATACTAAACTACCTTTTTCCCATGAATGTTTGTTTTTTTAACCTTTATTATTATTGCCGTGTAGTATTCCATTGTGTAAATGTACCATATTTTTTATCCACCCATCTGCTGATGGGCACTTAGGCTGCTTCCACATCTTAGCTATTGTAAATTGTGCTGCTATGAACATAGGGGTGCATATATTCTTTCTGATGAGTGTTTCCAGTTTCTTAGGATATATTCCTAGGAGTGGAATTACTGGGTCAAATGGGAGTTACATTTTTAATTTTTTGAGGAAACTTCATACTGTTTTCCACAGTGATTGCACCGGTCTGCATTCCCACCAGCAGTGCATGAGGGTTCCTTTTTCTCCACAGCCTTGCCAACACTTGTCCTTTGTTGATTTGTTGATGATAGCCATTCTGACAGGTGTGAGGTGGTATTTCATTGTTGTTTTGATCTGCATCTCTCAGATGATTAGTGACTTTGAGCATTTTTTTCTTATGTCTCTTGCCTTTCTGTATGTCCATTTTGGAGGAGTATCTATTTACATCCTTTGCATTTTTAAATGGATTGTTTGTCTTCCTTTAATTAATTGTATGAGTTCCCTATATATTTTAGAGATTAAGGATTTTTAACATCTATATTCATCAGGGATATTGGCCTGTAGTTCTCTTTCTTTGCCATGTCTTTTTTGGTTTTGGAATTAGAGAAATGCTGACTTCATGGAAAGAGTCTGGAAGTCTTCCTTCCACTTGAACTTTTTGGGATAGTTCAAGAAGAATGGGTGTTAGTTCTTTGAATATTTGGTAAAACTCTTTTGGGAATCTGGACAAGGGCTTTGGTTTGCTGGGAGGTTTTTTTTTTTTTTTAATATTTTTATTACTACTTCAGTTTCATCAGTAGTTATGAGCCTACTCAGGTTTTCTGATTCTGATTGAGTTTTGGAAGGTTGTATTTTTCTAAGAATATGTCCATTTGTCCAGGTTGCCCCATTTGTTGGACTAAAGTCATTCATATTATTTTTTTAATGATTCCTTGTATTTCTGTGGGGTCAGTTGTTACTTCTTTATTTCTGATTTTATTTGGGTCCTCTCTCTTTGTTTCGTAGAAAGTCTAGCTAGAGGTTTATCAATCTTGCTTATCCTTTCGAAGAGCCAGCTCTTGTTTTTATTGATCTTTTGTACTGTTTTTTTTGTTGTTGTTGTTTATTTGTTTGTTTGTTTTTTGGTCTCTACTCATTTATTTATTTACACTCTGATCTTTATTATTTTCTTTCTTCTACTTATTCTGGGCTTTTATTGCTGTTCTGTTTCTAATTCTTTAAGTTGTAGTGTTAGATATCTTACTACCAGTTTTTCTTCTTTTCTGAGGTAGGCATGTAGTGCTATGAGCTTCCCTCTCGGGACTGCTTTCACTGTGTCCCATAGACTTTGGATTGTTGTGTGTTCATTTTCTTTGTTTTCCAGGATGTTTTTAATTTCTTCTTTGATCTCTTTGGTAACCCATTCATTGTTTAAATGCACACTAGTTAGCCTCCATGTATTTGGTTGTTTTTGAGCATTTTTTATTGTAGCTGATTTCTAATTTCATGCTATTGTGGACTGAGAAGATGCTTGATATGATTTCTATCTCCTTGAATTTGTAGAGACTTAGCTTGTGTCCTAACATATGATCTATCTTTGAAAATGGCCCATGTGCACTTGAGAAGAATGTATATTCTATAGCTTTGGGGTGGAATGTTCTGAAGATGTCAGTTAGTTCCATCTGTTCTAGAGTGTCATTTAGGATTGCTGTTTCCTTGTTGATTTTTTGTCTATAATATTTATCCAGTAATGTCAGTGGGGTATTAAATTCCCCTACTATGATTGTATTATAGTCAATCTCTCTCTTGATATCCTCCAGAAGTTTGTATTGGGTGCTCCTGTATTGGGTGCATATATGTCAACATATATATGCACCCAATACCAAAGTCAGAAGTCAGAAAATGAAGTGTCATTCGCTTCAGCTGACTTTTAGTGCCCCGTGGGGGCTGGCTTAGGACCCCACTCTTCTGTCTGCCAATTCTGGGCTTTCTGTTAGATATTTAGTTGCTAACTTGCCAGGCACTGTCTTTTGGTTTTTAGCAACCTCCTTGAAGCTCCAAATGATCTGCTGGTCCACTGCTCTTGTCTGTCTCCATAGGCCTTGGCTTCAAGCAGGAGGGGCCGATCTGCCCTCTTTACCTGTCTGCCACCTGTCTTAAACACTCAAGAGTCTGTTTCTGACAGGGCTTTAGATGCAGTTGGTGTTGTTTCATTTTCAGGGACTGTGATGGGTGTTTTTTCCTGTCCCAGAACTACTACTCTGCCAGTGGCCCAAAATGTTATTCTGCCCTTTGGTGGATGGAGGTCCTTGTGTGGTCCAATGGAGTCAGATGGGACTCTGGAGTTTTTATCAGTCTAGTTCCTGGAATAGTGGGGAGTGGGGGGTTAGGGGGAGACGGATGGCCCCCCACACCATCACTGAGGGCTCCCTGAGACTATTCAGACCTGCCAGCTTGGCCTCTGCCTTTGTTTCCTCAGTAAAGCTCAAAATGCAGGGTGTAGCAGGCTGTCTCACAGTGGGCAGGTGCTGTTTTTTATTTTCCTTTACCTGCCCTTTGGGTGTTTGGAGGACGTAGCTTCTCCCAAGGGAAATGGCCATTTAAACCGTATGAATGACCGAACCAGGACTCCTGGCTACTACTGCTTTTTTAGGTTTCCCTGCCCTGCTTCCCTCCCCACCTGTCCTCAGGCACCTCATGTCCATGCCTCTCTCCCTGCAACATTGCCTGGGGTGTGTCGTTGCAAGTGGAAACTCCTGTGCTGTAGGTTTAGAGATTTTAAAAGGGGGGGGGTGTCAAAACCACAGCTTTCTCCCCCACTGGCTCTGTTCTGCTGAGCCTAGCCGCCGCTGCTGCCAGCAGTCTTGCTGCCTTTCATAGCTGCTTGTATATATGATACGGGCGATGCGGGTAGCGCCACTGCAGGCGGGTGTGTGTGCTCCTGGCAACCCCCCTCTCGTGATCTCGCCCTTCCTCCTGGTCTAGGTGCCTTATGTTCTTCCTTGTGATAAGTCACCTCCTCAGCTGGACCACAGTTGGAAATCGATGAATGTTCTCCAATTTAGTTGTATTTCCAGTCTGCCCCTTGGACTAGGTACCCAACAGCTCTGCACGTTCAGCCGTCATTTTCTCCTCTGCCCAACTATATACTAAACTATTAACATGGTCGGAAGCTATATGTTTTTACTTGGAGGATACTATTTGTTTTTATTAAAACTCTAACAGTGATTTCAAAATTGTGTTGATTACACTAACATCTTAGAATTTCAGGGGTGTGTGAAATGCTTTTATGTGATTTGCCCTCTACTCAGAAAAAAAAAAAAAAGGAACTGATTTTACAGTGAAATTAATGTAAACTATTTTTCAGAGAATTTATATTGAGGCTTGCAGACCCCTGGTGACCATTTAGTCACATAATGGTGCTATTTACTAAGAGTCATTCAGGGACCTTAAAAAGTCTGCTGAATTATATATAAGTCAATAACTCTGCAATTGACTAACACATATTTGTGTTTAATTTTTTGGTAAATATAAAAACCAAAAAGAGTGAATATTTAGATGTTTTGTAAGTTATAACTAATTGTCAAACAAAAATTTTAAAAGTTGTTCTTGAACAGCTAATTATTATTTATTTGTATACATTTTCCCTAAGAGATTATTTGCTTCTTGGTCAGTTGCTTTTCTACACCTAGAATCTCTGAACTATCTTTCTACAATGATCTTCATATATATATTTTTTTTATGTTACAGCAAAAGCAAGCATTTTGCACTAAATGGTACAAAATAGCAAATCCAACCTGGGTGGGGCACAGTAGCTGCATTCAATGTTTACAACAATGCTGAAGACTAACTTCCCTCCTCCCTATTTATCTCTGTCATCGCAATCAAACACTGTCCTGTTGGTTAGAAGGGCCAGAAGAATTATCTACTGATTTATATCATCTGTTTTAGTAATAAGCTGAGAAATTACACCGCAAAAAGCTTAGATAAGTAAGAGAAGGCTGAATATCTCTTCTCAGTAATGAATAATCTATAAGTTCCCATCCTTCTGAATCATGAAATGCTTATGCAGCAATTCTGCTACAGACACTGTCGGGTTCAGCATTCACCAGGCTCACATAGACAGGGTCTAATTGGAGAGCCTTTAACTAACTTCTTCCTTTGCTTCTCCACATTTCATAGACAGTGCTTGAAAACAAACACATACCACAGAAAAACAATCATGCATGTAATCTGATCATTTTAATGTTATTCAAGCTAGCATAACCATATATTGCAGTTTGTTTTTACTTGTTTTTTTCAGAATTCCGTCTTGTCTATTAATTTTCATCCTAGACAAATGTAGCATGGTTTAGATATCAACCCAAAAGACAAAACAATATTTGGAAATATTTTTATTTTCTTTGAATATGTTGAATATGTGTGTAGAAAAACATACAGATATATTGAAACAAACCAAGTAGCTATTACATATCCAAATGAGAGAGCCTTCAAAATTATCCTGTTCTAAAATTGTATTCATAGTGGATTTTAGGTCAAATGATGGACTAAATATATACTGAACTGTCTGTTGCTCAAAATTTGTTAAGATTTTTATGTTTACAATTTCATAAAAATTCCCAAAAAACATTAACCATAATAATAAAAATAAGTATTATTATATGAAAAATGAAGCATTTCTCATGAACCATAGGCAACATAAGTGAGGCTGACAAGTAAACAAGCATATGAATAGCTTATCAAATGACAAGTATACTTTTCTGAAATTATAAAGTAAGATAACAAGTGTTAATAGAATATTAAGAAAGGCAGACATTTATTCACTACTAGTAATAAATAGTATAAATCAGTGTTTTAGAGATATTTCTGGATTTTCTTTTTATGAAATTAGTATATGTTTTGAAGCTTGTCTCTAAGACACAATCCCCAATGGGTTCATGGGGATGTTCTCAGCTTGTTTGTAGGGCAAAAATTGGAAAAAACTGAGCCACCATCATAAAGAAAAATATTAATAAAATGTTTTATGTCCATATACAGCAATGCTATTTATTATGCTTAAACCATAAAACCGAGTTTTAAAAAAATCAGAAAACTATTTAGCACTATTTGGTTCAGATAAGCAAAATTATAAATCAAACTAATATATTTTTCAAGTATATTCTTATTTGAAGGTATACATTAATATATTAATAAGATTTCTTATTTGAAGTATGGGAGAGAATAGTATTGGGGTAGAGGCAAGAAGAGGAAAATAATTAAATGTAATAGTAATAACATTTCACATATTTATAATAATGATATGCCATGAGCTAAAGAATTTTATTAACTCAATACTCAATATAAGGACCATAATAAACAAATTAAATATCAATAAATTAAACATTGATGTTTAGTCTATAAAAAGATTTTCAGTATAGGGCATCCACTAAAATATGCACTCACACTCAGGGTAGAGAGAGTGAAAGAGACAAAGATAGAGAGATGTGGTATATTTTACATAGCATATGTTTAACATAGCAAACTTGTTTCTGGGAATGGGTTTAATTTCTAAAGTGTCAGTGTTTGCTTCGAAATTACTAGATAAGTGTCCTCTTTCTGGGGAAAATAAAGACTTAGTAGTGATACAACTATTGTTTCAGTTATGTAGAAATAAAGACTAATGTGCTGCTGGAATTCAATCTGAGATATAAAACTAAGTTAAATAAAGGGAACTCATCTAGGTCTCAAAAGGATTATTATGCAACACATGATTTCACCACACAACAACAACAAAAAAAGGAAACAAAACAAGAAACCCTACACATAGAGATAAATTATCTTAAATATTGGTGATATGTAATCTATCTGATAGTTTGAATAGCTAACAGAATGGAATGTCTTAATAAAGAAGAAATACTAACTCTAAAAGGACCATTTCAGGTTATAAGTTTGGTGACTTTGGGCAAATTGGAAGAGACAGTACTTTGAGGAAATAAGACTGTGAGATCTTCTCCCAGTCATAGAGCAGACAGGATGGCTTGCAGAACTCGGGACCAAGAGACTGCTGAGCCATGAGATTCCCACAAAAGTAGAGCCAGTTCTGTTCCTTTCAGATCCCAATGACACAGCACAATCAGTTTTTTTACAGTAACTATGAAGTGAAGAAGTATTCATGGCAATATAAGTTCATTTTTCCAACCCCAAAAGAGAACATATCTGACTATGTGATGAAAAACTGAGGATTATAGTGGGTGTTTATACAAAAAAGCAAACCTGCATCTCCCTCTATCTTGTGGGGCTCTTGGGCAAGTAGGTGTCATGAGATAGCCATCTATATCAATAAAAGCCTAGGTGGCTCAGGACCTCCTGCATGACCTCATCACAAGATGGCTGCCACCAGATGGCCGCCACAAAGATGGCCGCACACACAGTGGAGGCGGGGCCCAGTGGCCACTCCATGCGGTGAGGCCTCGGGGTCCCGCAGCTCTGCGTGGCCGGTCCTGGCGTCTATGCTGCCTCATGTGGAGGAGTCGGGTCCCAGCAGAGGAGGCAGGTCGAGGCAGAGAAGGGCAGTTGGGGGCGATTGGGCTGGCAGAGGAGGGCAGTTGGGGGCCATCAGGCCAGCAAGGGAGCAAGGGGGTGATCAAGCTGGCAGGCAGAAGAGGTTAGGGGCAATCAGGCAGGCAGGCAGGCAAGCGGTTAGGAGCCAGCGGTCCCAGATTGTGAGAGGGATGTCCGACTGCCGGTTTAGGCCCTATCCCACAACTGGCAGTCAGACATCCCCCGAGGGGCCCTAGATTGGAGAGAGTGCAGGCCAAGATGAGAGACACCTCTCCCATGCACTAATTTCATGCAGCAGGCCTATAGTATCCATATAATTTAGAAGGAGTCTGGAATAAAGAAAAGCAGTGTCTTGCATACCATGTGAAATTTGAGTAAACAAATTAAACAAAAGCAAAATGAAGAAGTAAACTATTTTCTTTCTATACACCATTAATACCACCATTTTCTTTTGACTATGAAATAGCATGAAAAAGTATCCCCAGGTATTCTGTCTCTCCAAAACTTGTGGCTAGGTGTAGGAAAGTAGGCCTGAAGAGACCTCTCCATTGGCTAAGTGTAACAGCACTGAGAGTGACTAGAGGACAAATGTAAGGACAAGTAAATTGTTGGTGTGTTAGTCCCTTCCAAGCCT